CAAGTTCTGATTGGCTGTATCTGGGTGGCCTGATAGTCTCTGACTGGTTGTGTCTTGGTGACCTGATAGTCGCCTTAGTTGCCAGGGTGAGGGCCTGGTCTTCCTGCTTCTGCCTCCTATCATGGCGTTATGTTTACTCTTTCTACATTCCGTTTGTTCTCCCTACATTTACCTTATATATTGGTTGTTTAAAGAATAAAAATAAGCAGTCATGGCTTACTATACTTTAATGATGTTCTTCTGAATTGAAGTATAGATTAAAATTAAATTTGCCTGAAGCCTGAATCTTATTGATATTTTAAAATGTCATTTAATATTTGCAGAAATATACATAAAATAAAAGGAGTAGCAAAGACTCCATTCAGCAGAAAGGAATTCTAAATGAAACTGAGTTTCTAAACATCAGCCTAAATATTAATATATGATTATGTCAGGAAAAAGGGAAAAGTGGGGAGGTTCTATAAATATTTTGAATATCTAAAAGATAGTTTTTTAGTTTTTTTACAGAGTTTCCATGTCCCTATTCATTCATTAGTTACCAAATTTCCAACATGACTCCTTTCAAATACATATTGCTAAAATGATATATTGTCTTTTAGTACAAATCAGGACTATTTTTAATGTTTTAAATCCTAATTTCAGAAATTAGACAATATTGTTGCCTTACTTGTAACCTATGCAAGTCTATAAATCATGGAGATTTGGTGCTGGTGGTGCACAATCTCTTTTTTCCTAGATATAATGTAAGAGAAAATATGTAAATACTTGGGTAAAAATCAAGAACAGAAGTATTTTTTATATCAGTGACATCTTGGGAGATTAGTCAACAAAACTTTAAAAACTGACATGTAGACATGAAGATGGCATGACTAACAGTGTGAGAATGCTCTGGAGAGGTATCCAAGAAGTGATTCTGTAAAGAATTCTTAGAGAATTTTCTGTGAGACACAGATGATCTCTTTTCAGTAGATTGTATTTCCAGAAGAATTTGTTGGTGAGATGCTTTTTGGAAGATGAAAAGGAAGGATTAAATTAAGATAAAAATGTGTTCCTGCAAAGAGACTGTAAATAAGCATGACCAAATGAGATTACACTGGCTGCAACTAAGAAAAACTGATGTGATTATGAAGGCTTCAAATAAGGGATAAGTATTCCCAAAGTATGGGCTTTCTTGATAGCTCAGTTAGTAAAGAATCCACCTCCAATGCTGGAGACCTGGATTTGATCCCTGGGTTGGGAAGATCCCCTGGAGAAGGAAATGGCTACCCAATCCAATATTCTGGCCTGGAAAATTCCATGGAATATATAGTCCATGGGGTCGCAAAGAGTCGGATATGACTGAACTACTTTCACTTTCACTTTCACTTGCAAAGTTTACCTGAAACAATAGCTTGGACTTCAAGTACAGAGAGCCTTGGGATGGAAAGTAAGTTTGAATTTCATTCTGCAGATGATGTAGAAACAAAAACAATTGTTAGAGTTCACTGACATGATAAAATTATTTTATAATTGTATATAAAATAGACTATATATAAATATACAACAATATATATTATATTGTTTAGTCTCTAAGTCATATCTGATTCTTTTTGTGATCCCATGGACTATAGCCAGCCAGGCTTTTCTGTCAATGGGATTTCCCAGGCAAGAGTACTAGAGTGGATTGCCATTTCCTTCTTTAATGGATCTCTCGACACAAGGATTGAACCTGTGCCTCCTGCATTGGCAGCTGGATTCTTTACCACTGAGCCACCAGGGAAGCCCTATATATACACACACACACACACAAACACATGCAAACACACACACAAACATATATATATATATATATATATATATATATATATATATATGAATCCCCTTCATGGATCACAGGCTCATCATGGCAAAGTGGTTTATATAATTCAATGAAGCTAAGAGCCATGCCCTGCAGGGCCACCCAAGGCAGACAGGTCATAGTGAAGATTCTTGACAAACTGTGGTCCACTGGAGTCAGAAATAGCAACCCACCCCAGTATTTTTGCCTGGAGAACCCCATGAACATAATGAAGAGGCAAAAAGATATGACACCATAAGATAGGCACCCCATGTCAAAAGGTGTCCAATATGCTACTGAGGAGAAGCAGAGAACAATTGCTAATAGCTCCAGAAAGTATGCAGTTACTGGGCGAAAGTGGAAAGGATGCTCAGTTCTGGATGTGCCTGGTTGTGAAAATAAAGTCAGATACTGTGAAAAACAATATTGCATACAAACCTAGAAAGTTAAGTCCATGAATCAAGGTAAACTGGGCATTGTCAAGCAAGAGATGGCAAGAGGGAACATCACCATCTGAGTAATCACTGAACTAAAATGGACAGGATTGGGTGAATTTAATTCAGATGACCATTATGTCTACTACTTTGAGCAAGAATCCCTTAGAAGAAATGGAGTAACCCTCAGAGCTAACAAAAGAGTGTGAAATGCAGTACTTGGGTGCAGTCTCATAAATGACAGATTGATCTTGGTTTGTTTTTAAGGCAAACCATTCAACATTACAGTAATCCAAGTCTATGCTACAACCACTGATGACAAAGAAGTTGAAGTTGAACAGGTCTATGAAGACCTACAACACCTTCGAGAACTAACACCAAAATAAAATATGTCTTTTCCATCACAGGTGATTGTAATACAAAAGTGGGAAGTCAAGAGACCCAGAATAACAAGCAAGTTTAGCCTTGGAGTACAAAATGAAGCAGGGAAAAAGCTAAAAATTTATGTGAAGAGCACACAATGGTCATAACACCCTTTTACAACAACCCAAGAGATGACTCTACACATAGACATCACCAGATGGTCAATACCAAAATCAGACTAATTATGTTGTTTGAAGCCAAAGATGGAGAAGTTTTATACACTCAGCAAAAACAAGACCAGAAGCTGACTGTGACTCGGATCATGAACCCCTTATTGCAAAGTTAGGCTTAAATTGAAGAAAGTAGGGAATACTACTAAGCCATTCAGATATGACCTAAGTCAAACCATTTATGATTATATGGAGGAGATGATGTATAGATCCAAGGGATCATATCTGGTTGACAAAGTGCCTGAAGAATGATAGATAGAGATTCCTATCATGGTACAGGAGGCAGTGACCAAAACCATCCCAATGAAAAATGAATGCAAGAAGGAAAAGTGATTGTGGAGGCGTTACAAATAGCCGAGAAAAGAAGAGAAGCAAAAGGCAAAGGGAAAAGGGAAAGATATACCTAACAGAGTTCCAGAGAATATAAAGGAAAGATAAGAAATCCTTCTTAAATGAATAATGAAAAAACAAAAAATAGAGGAAAAGAATAGAATGGGAAAGACTAGAGATCTCTTCAAGAAAATTAGAGATTTGAGGGGAATATTTTATGTAAGGATGGGCACAATAAAGGACAGAAACAGTAAGAACCTAACAGAAGCAAAAGAGATTAAGAAGAGGTAGAAAGAATACACAGAAGAACTCCATAAAAATGAACTTAATGTCCTGGATAGCCATGATGGTGTGGTCACTCACCTAGAGCCAGGTGTGTAGGTATGAAGTCAAATGGGCCTTAGGAAACATTACTACAAACAAAGCTAATGGAGGTGACAAAATTCCAGTTGGACTATTTAAAATCCCAAAAGATGATGCTGTTAAAGTGTTGCACTCAAAATGTCAGCAAAGTTGGAAAACTCAATAGTTGCCACAGGACTGGAAAACATCAATTTTCATTCCAATCTCAAAGAAGGGCAATGCCAAAAATCGCTGTGACAATCATTCACTTTCATTCACTTTACATGATAGTAAGGTTATGCTCAAAATCCTCCATGTAAGTTTTCAGTAGTATGTGTACCTAGAATTTCCAGAAGTACAAGCTAGGTTTCAAAGAGGCAGAGGAACCAAAGATGAACTTGTCAACTTTTGTTGGATCGTGGAGAAAGCAAGGGAGTTCCAGGAAAACATCTGCTTCTGCTTCATTAACTACACTAAAGCCTTTGACTGTGTGGATCACATGAAACTGTGGAAAATTCTTAAAAAGCTGGGAGTTCCAGGCCACTCTCTCCTGAGATACCTGTATGTGGGTCAAGAAGCAACAGTTAGAACCAGACACGGAACACCTGATTGTTTCCAAAATGGAAAAGGAATATGACAAGGTTTTATTTATTCACTCTGCTTATTTAACTTCATTATGGGAAAAGTGGGGCTGGATGAATCACAAGCTGGAATCAAGTCTGCAGAGAGAAATATCAACAACCTCAGATATGCAGATAATATCACTTTAATGGCAGAAAGTGAAGAGGAACTAAAAGGCCTCTTGATGAGGGTGAAAGAGAGTGAAAAAGCTGGCTTGAAATGCAGCATTTCAAAAAATCTAGATCATGGCACCTGTACTGTCAATTCATGGCAAATAGCAGGGGGAAAAGTGGAAACAGAGACAGATTTTATTTTCTTGGGCTCCAAAATCACTGGGGAAGGTGACTGCAGGCATGAAATTAAAAGATGCTTTCTCCTTTGAAGAAAAGATATGACAAACCTAGACAGCATATTAAAATCAAAGATACCATTTTGCCACAAAGGTCTGTTTAGTCAAAGCTATTATTTTTCCAATAGTTATGAACAGATGTGAGAGTTGGACCCGAAAGAAGGCTGAGTGCTGAAGAATTGATGCTTTCTAATTGTAGTGCTGAAGACTCTTAAGATTCCTCTGGACTGCAAGGAGATCAAACCAGTCAATCCTAAAGGAAATCAACCCTGAATATTCATTGGAAGGACTATTGCTGAAGCTAAGCTCCGATACTTTGGCTACCTGATATGAAAAGCTGATTCATTAGAAAAGACCTTCATGCTGTGAAAGACTGAATGCAAAAGGTAAAAGGAACAGCAGAGGACGAGATGATTAGATAGCCTCACCAACTTAATGGACATGAATTTGAGCAAATTCTTTGAGATTAGTAGAGGATAGGGGAGCCTGGCATGCTGCAGTCCATGGGGTTGCAAGGAGTCAGACACAACTTAGTGACTGAACAACTACAATCATGTTCTTAGACTGGATGGCTTAATGTTTTTTGCAAATATATTATCCCCAATTAAATCTGCAGATCCCATTCAATCCTACTTAAAATTCCAGCAGGATTTATTTTTAAATAATCTAAATTCTGTCTGTAAAGTTTATATGGAAAGATAAAGAAACTTGAATTGACAAAAATGATTTTAAAGCTTCAGAACAAATTTGGAAGATTTACACATTTCAATTTAAATATTTACTTGAGTGCTACATTAATCATGACAGTGATATTAGTGAAAGGATTGATCTATAGATGATGGAATATAATTAGTTTACAAAATATTCTTCCAAATTTAAGCAACTGAATTTTTTAACAAATTACAAAGGAATCTACTGGATACCTCCTATTTCCCCTTTTCCCCAGCCTCAACAAGATTCCTCCCTGGAACCATCTCACAAATTATATTTATACCTGAATCAGTTTTGGCGTTCAGGCAGGGCAACAAGGCTGTCTTACCCCACCTGCAGTTTATCCCAGGCCCACCAGCTCCCAGATAATGATGATGCTACCTTTGATCATGGTCAGGTACTCTAGGGAGAGGCCCTAGGCAACAACCTACCTGTTTCCAGGGAGCCCCAGGGGCCGCAGCGTTTGGGACCAAAGAGCCTAGAGCTCGCAGCCTCCACCCAATTCTTTGGGACTTGACTGTAGCAAAAGCCTCTTTGAGGTGCTCTGAGCAGGGTTGTAGGCCACCTGGAAATGAGCTGGGTGATACCGGCTTGGTGAAGTATCCCTCTTGACGCCCAGGAGATGGCCCTGAGTGAGACGCTGCTCAGCCACAAGGCCCTTGATCTGGTGGAACTCTACCAGAAGCAAAGCTTCCAGGATCTCACCCCAGAATGCACAGGAGACAGTGTGGTACTTTGAAGGCGCGAAGGGCTTGCTTGGACCGGACAGCAGAGAGGCGTCTGTTGGGGTGTAAGGTGACCATGTGTGCCCAGTGGGCCTTCCCCACCACCTCCTGCTCCTTGCAGAGGAAGCCTCCTGAAGTCAGGTGTGCCTTGACCCGTTGAACATAGTCCTTTAGAAGCTGCAGGGCCTCGGCTGGCTATCCTAGGAAGATGTGACGCGGGTCTTGTCCTGAATACTCCTGGGACTGGAAAAGGGAGTCAAAAGTACCAGGAGCGCTCACAGAGGTTGTCGGTTGCCATCCCTATGAACTACAACTCCAAAAAGATCTTCCAGAGCTGGCTCTGTACTGGAGCAGAGTGTGCAGGTGTCCGCTGTAGGGAAGGGCACGTCAGGGCCTAGAATTTATAAGGCTTGAATGGAGATCTCGCTATAAGCCACTGGAAATCATCCCTGGACTCAGCTCCACTTGCAGTTCAGTGACCACACAGTTTTAGCTATGCAAGATGAATAAATTCCAGAGATTTGCTGTATAGTGTTGTGCCTATAGTTAGCAATACTATAGGGCTTTTAAGTATTGTGTGCATTTAAAAATTTGTTGCAGATAGATCTCGTGTTTTGTTCTTACTGAAATTTAAAAATTAAAATGAGAGAAGAACAACAGATGAATATATAACTAAAATCAAACAAAAATCTTTATTTTAACTGGTATACTTGCAGATTTTTAAAGATTTGAAAGAAGTCATTGACTTACATTACATTGTGATACCTGAGAGTCAGCTGTAGGTGCTGCTGCCCCTAAGTCACTTCAGTCGTGTCCAACTCTATGTGACCCCATAGATGGCAGCCCACCATGCTCCCCCATCCCTGGGATTCTCCAGGCAAGAACACTGGAGTGGGTTGCCATTTCCTTCTCCAATGCATGACAGTGAAAAGTGAAAGTGAAGTCGCTCAGTCGTGTCTGACTCTTTGCGACCCCATGAACTGCAGCCTACCAGGCTCCTCCATCCAAAGGATTTTCCAGGCAAGAGTACTGGAGTGGGGTGCCATTGCCTTCTCCGGCTGTAGCTGCTATGATCCACATGCCCTTCCCTTCTAGGACTCAGACTGAGGAGAAGCCAGCCTCTGTTTCCAGCATGTTGTTTTCCATAAAGGAGAACAGAGCAAAAGAACTACAAAGATTCACAAAGTCTCTGAAGACTCTTCCTGGCACACAGTTGGATGAACTCTTCTCACTTTCCACTGGTCAAACAGCCTAATAGGGTCTAGCCCAAAGTCAAAGTGGTTGGGTTTGTGTTTCCCTGTAATGAAAGCACATGACAGTTGGTAGGAATGCATAATCAATCTTCTTACAGGAAAAGAGGGCATTTATAATTATAAAAACTATCACTTTTGGATTCCTTGATACAACTCTAATTCTTTTGCTAATAAAATAGAAAAATTAAATATAATGTAAAGCTTGATTTTTTTTTTAGTTTATATTTACCTATACCACTATCCCTGACTCTATTTTATCTTAGAAACTTAAATGCCTATTCATTACTATCATCTCTTTATGTCCTACAGTATTCTGAAATCCATGCAGGTTTATTGTTATTAATTAAACTGACCCTTTGTTCAAATAATTGAAATGTTATTTATAAACCCATAAGTGAGTCAGCAAGAGAACAGCTAATTCACCATACGTGTAGAATGAGTATGTGATATTCACAAAGCAAAAGACCAGAATTGGCAAAGTGACAATGAATCTATTTCTTCAATAAACTGAAAGGATGATCATTAATTAGCAGAAGATAAATTATCTTTCTTCAATCTTTGAAAATATTAAAATACATACACACATACACATAATATCTTCCTTCCCCATCTCTCAGAATTTTTTACACACATATACATAATGCAAGTTGCTATGGTGATATGCTTATCTCCATAGCAATCGATCATTACATCTTCGTATGTGTCCATTTTCTCTTAATAGGCAAATTATAGGTGATGAAACCAAAGGTTCACATCTTCAAAAAAGATACAAAACAAATTTTAAAAAACTGAGTTTTTATCCAAAAAATATTTTGTTAAGTATTCCTACTTAAGATTGGAAAAGAAAATGTTTAGAAAATTAATAGGTAAAATGTAGCTATAAAAGGTACATGCTCTTGGAAAAATGAAAGCTTTTAAACAGCAGCAAATGTTTAAATATGAATGTTTTCTTACAATAGAATATGATACAATTCAGTTTGTGGCAGTCTCCATGTGGCTGAGATGCTCCCCAGCAGAAATGAGCTTCAGGATTCTTATCCCCAGAAAGCCATCACTGTAAAATTTTCTAGCCTCTGGAAAAAAAGATCATTTTTACTCTCATAGAGAAAGTCATAACACTGACTAGAAGTATGAATAAATTGAAACTCTTTGACCTATAGAAAATTACATAAGGCAAGGTCTTCAATCTCTGGTACTACTATAAAAATTGACATTTGAATATATATATATATAAAATACACTATTACCTGTTAACTACAACAATAAAAATAAAAAAATAACTTTTAAACACTGCCATTGAGTTTTGTCATTTTATGGTACAAATAAAAGCAATGCTTTGATTAGGTCAAAGGACTGATTTTTGTGAACAACTTAACATTTTAGGTTGCTTTAATATGCATCTTATGAAAATGTCTTTATATGCTTCTTATAAAGGACTTATTGATTTTAACAAATTGGTTTTTATAAATATTTTGATATTTTATGGTCCATAAAAAGTGAAAGTGAAGTCACTCAGTTGTATCCAACTCTCTGCGACCCCATGGACTATATATATAGCCCACCAGTCTCCCCCGTCCATGAAGCTAATTTTCATTTGTAACCGTAAGTTATATAAATAAGACTATAGTTGTTGATGAAAAAATAATCAGTCAATCTAAGAAAGACATGGAAAATTGTATTCAAGCCAAAGTCAGGGATTATAACCTGGAAAGAACATATTAAAAAACTCAGAACTGTTCAACCTATTAGAAATCAAGGCACAGTTATATAAGTGTTTTGAGACATAAGGCTACTCATTTATGACATATGATTGACAGTTTACACAATGCAGAACAAAGCATCATTGTAACTCCCTTACAAGATCAAGAAGGAATGTTATCTTTTATGAAGTTGTCCTGTGATGCTACAAGAATATTGCTCATGGATGATCAGATATTTCTGCCAATTGGGGAAGTTTGTTTGATGCATATTGCAGGTACTCATTGCACACTAGCAGAGAGAAAGGAGGCCAAAGGGCAGAGAAAACTTCTTTTTGCTTAATTTTTTCTTGTCTTGTCATAAAATATGAATTTTATTGTTAAATTCTATCTAACAATAGAGAAGGCCAAAGGGCAGAGGACATTTTTATACAATTTTTCTTATCTTGCTATAAAATATGAACTTCATATAAAATTTTGTGTTTACAAACATAAAATAAAACAATTGCAATAAATATTATGTTTTTATGTACCTGACATAAGTTTTGAATAAGCATAAACACAGAAACTGGGAGGTTTTTGCAAAGAGCTGAACATACTTAATTTCAAAGATGGTTTCTTTACAAATTAAAAAAAAAAAAAACCTTGTAACAGATATATCATTAAACAAATAAAAATTAATGAAAATGAATATTCTTAAATCCAACCTTTAGAATATAACTTATTTTGATGAGCATGAAGGAGCAAAAGATTGAGAATAAAATTAAACTGTGGGGCTCTTCTGGGTACAAGGTCACTCTGTGTCCCGTGTTTCTCATTTGTAGGCCTTCTCTGAGTTCTAAAGTGAAGTGAAGTTGCTCAGTCGTGTCCGAGTCTTTGCAACCCCGTGGATTGTAGCCTACCAGGCTCCTCCATCTCTGGGATTCTCCAGGCGAGAATACTGGAGTGGGTTGCCATTTCCTTCTCCATGAGTTCTAAAGGGCAGATTGAAATAGCTGCTAATTAAGAAAGTGAGGGAATGCAGAAATGAAGGAAAGGCAGTAGAAAAACAATAGTGTAGTGATAAAGCTAACACATGTCTCTCAGTTCTTTAACAGGAACTAAGACATCTACCCAAAGGAGGATGGTAATATCAGGTTGAGTACAAGCTCATAGATCACAGACTGGTTGGAATTAGAAGGTTGATAATCAAAATTCCTTAATCACTACTGTTACCTCACCACCAGCCAATCAGAAGACAATTCAATTCTGCATCCTGCAGACCTCACACAAAAATTTGTCCTTAGAAACTCCTTCCTGAAAACCACTCGGAGTTCAAGTCTTTTGAGCACAAGCCTCTGGTATGGCTTGCCTGATCCTTGAAGTAAACTTTACTCCAGAGTCTGAAGTTTTAGTTTGTTTGCCTTATTGTGCATCATGAACTTGAGTTAGACAGCAAGAGAGCAAAAGATCCATGTTGTCTATTTATTAGCTCCATAACATTTCTTTTTTAGATATTTGTTTAACCATGGCTTTTTGGTGGATAATCTTGCAATTATTCAGTATTGTATGAGAAACTGAGATACATACATTGAGATAATATCTGGAAAAACATTTTTTACTATGTTTCAACTAATTTGCTATTTCAGTTCAATTCAGTTGCTCAGTCGTGTCCGACTCATTGGGACCCCGTGGACTGCAGCATGCTAGGCCTCCCTGTCCATTGCCAACTCCTGGAGTTTACTCAAACTCACGTCCATTGCGTCAGTGATGCCATCCAACCATCTCATCTTCTGTCGTCCCCTTCTATTCTTCCCTCCAGTCTTTCCCAGCTTTTGCAAATGAGTCAGTCCTTCACATCGGGTGGCCAAAGTATTGGAATTTCAGCTTCAACATCAGTTCTTCCAATGAATATTCAGGACTAATTTCTTGTAGAATGGACTGGTTAGATCTCCTTGCAGTCCAAGGGACTCTCAAGAGTCTTCTCCAACACCACAGTTCAAAAGCATCAATTCTTCAGCGCTCAGCTTTCTTTATAGTCCACCTCTCACACCCACACGTGACTACTGGAAAAACCATAGCTTTGGCTAGACAGACCACTGTTGTCAAAGTAATGTCTCTGTTTTTTTAATTTGCTGTCTAGGTTGATCATAGCTTTTCTTCCAATGCAGTTAGATCTGGCTAATCTCAATAAATTTTTCAGGTAGAAATAATAGGTACAAATTCATATATAGAATTATAGAAAACTTATAGAAACTATAGAAAATTTATAGAAAAAATCTCTCAAGCAATATGTAAAATAACTAATTACCTGCATATTATACAAATCTGTTAAATATTTGCCTTTTATGGTCTTATGGTCTGCAATAGTATATAGTGTTAAGGAATAGTCAGGGACTTCACTGGTGGTCCAGTGGTTATGACTCCACCTTTCAATAATGGGGTCGTTGTTCAGTCCCTCAGTCATGTCTGACTGTTTGTGATCCCATGGACTGCTGCACAGCAGGCTTCCCTAGCCTTCACTATTTTCAGGAGTGTGTTCAACTCATGTCCATTGACTCAGTGATGCCATCCAACCATCTCATCCTCTGTAATCTCCTTTTCCTCCCTCCTTGAATCTTTGCTAGCATAAGGGTCTTTATAAAATGAATCAGCTCTTTGCATCAGGTGGATCTTTGCATCAGTATTGGATCTTCAACTTCAGTGTCAGTCCCTCCAATGAAAATTCAGGAATGATTTTCTTTAGGATTGACTTGTTTGATATCCTTGCTGTCCAAGGGACTCTCAAGAGTCTTCTCAAGCACCGCAGTTGAAAGGAATCAATTATTTAGTGCTCAATTTTTTCTATTGCCCAGCTCTTACATTTGTACATGAGTACCGGAAAAATCACAGCTTTGACTACACAGACCTTTGTTGGCAAAGTAATGCCTCTGCTTTTTAATTAACTGTGTAACTTTGTCATAACTCTTCTTCCAAGGAGCAAGCATCTTTTAATTTCATGGCTGCAGTCACCATCCACAGTGATTTTGGAGCCCAGGAAAATAAAGTCTGTCACTATTTCCATTGTTTCCCCATCTATACCATGAAGTGATGGGACTGGATCCTATAATCTTCGTATTTTGAATGTTGAGCTTTAAGCCAGAGATTTCACTGAACTCTTTTCCTTCAGCAAGAGGCTTTTTAATTCCTCTTTGCTTTCTGCCATAAGGGTGGTGTCACATGCATGTATGAGGTTATTGATATTTCTCCATGCAATCTTGATTCCAGCTTGTGCTTCATCCAGCCTGGCATTTAACATGATGTACTCTGCACATAAGTTAAATAAGCAGGGTGACAATATACAGCCTTGAAGCACTCCTTCCCAGACAGTTGGACCAGTCTGTTGTTCCAACTCCAGTTCTAAATGTTGCTTCTTGACACACATACAGGCTTCTCAGGAGGCAGGTAAGGTGGTCTGGTGTTTCCTTCTCTTTAAGAATTTTCCATAGTTAGTTGTGATTTACACAGTCAAAGGCTTTAGCATAGTCAATGAAGCAGATCTTTTTCTGAAATTCTCTAGCTTTTTCTATGTTCCAGTGGATGTTGGCAATTTGATCCTCTGCCTTTTCTAAATCTAGCTTGTACATCTGGAAGTCTGGGTTCACAGACTGTTGAAGTCTAGATTGAAGGATTTTGAACATTACTCTGCTAGCATGTGAAACGAGTGCAATCATGCAATAGTTTGAACATTCTTTAGCATTGGTCTTCTTTGGGATTGAAAAAAAAACTGACCTTCTCCATTTCTGTGGCCACTGCTAAGTTTTCCAAATTTGCTGGCATATTGAGTGCAACACATTAACAGCATCATCATTTAGAATTTGAA